AAAAACCTTCGGCCGTGCCTTCGCCACGAAGGCGAGCGTGTCTGGGTCGACCGCGCGTCGTCCTCTTTCCGACGGGAAGTCCGGCGACCCCAGCCCCCGACTCTCTGTGGGGATGCTGACCGGGCCAAACAGCTGGAGCCAGACTCGGCGATCTACGATTATGTCGGGCGTGTCCCTCATACAGGGGGATCTTCGACGAAAAACAAAAGATACCCCAAAAACACTCCCAACAAAAAACAAAAATACTCAACAAATAGTCCCTGGACTATTTTTGGATTTTTTGTTTAATTCGTCGAAAATCCCCCTGTAGGGGTACAGGCCCGACATAAATCTGCGACGGAGGGGCGTCTCGGACCCTCGTTGGGCGCCCGAGTTATCCGGGGCAACTCGGGTCCGGGGTGACTCGGGCTTGGCTTCCCGAAAGAGGAACCCGAGTTAGCCCTGACCCGAGTTACCCCTGTAAAACGACGCGAAGATCGGAACAAAATCGGATCGGGATAACTCGAAACCTCTGAGAGTCGGCGGGTTTGGAGGATGTATTGGGCGCCGCGGCCTCTCCAGAGCGTTCCGAAACGCTCTGAGAGCGCTCCGGAACGCTCTGGAGCGATTTGTCCCGATCCTAGCCCTGTTTTACCCTGATGATTCGGAGCTCTGACCTCGAGCGCCTCCGCCGCCGCTGCCCGGCGGGCAGAACGCCACGTCCCACCCGGCCAGCGGCACGCCCGGCATCAGCGCGTCGTGGGCCCGCTCGCAGAGGGCCGCCGCCGCGGAGGCGCCGGGGAGCCGCTCCCCCGCCAGCGTGCGCCCGGTGTCCTCGCGAGCGGGGGGCAGAATTTGTGTGGCACCGTCGTTCTCGCGACTCTCCTCGTCGTCGTCGTCGTCGTCGTCGTCGTCGTCGTCGTCGTCGTCGTCGTTATCGTCGTCGTCGTCGTCGTCGTCGTCGTCGTCGTCGTCGTTCTTGCGTTCGTCGTCGTCGTCGCGCTCGTCGTACCTATCGCGCGCGGCGTGTCCGTATCCGCGCCCTCGCGGCCCAGATACCCGGGGCGCGACCCCACGCGCCCCTGACATTTGTCCCGCCTCCGGGGGTCCTCAACAAGCACCTGGACCCAAAAACCGGCACTTCGGGAAGGTGTCCAAACGTCTGGGGTCCATAGATCGGGCAAATTTGACTACGGGATGCTCGAGTAGGGGATTGACTACGGAATTGATTTGCTCCCACATGTTCTAATCTCCGAACGCTCTACGCATTTCTCATGGACCCGACGCGGAGAATCAAGTGTGGGATAAATCCGTTCTGTAGGTGAGCGTTTGTTTTTTCCCCCAACCATCCTGTGGTGTTGGGTCCTCGTTTTGAAGAGACGGTGCCCCGCGTTCCCGCCTCCTTCCTCCCTCCCTCCTCCCCCCTCCTCCCCCTCCCACACCCATTCTGGAACACCCCTCACACGTTTCGTGGCCCCATAAGGAGCTCCACCGAAGGCCCCAGTGGCTGCGTTCGCATGCGGTTCCATCCCCCATTCTGGCACAACCCTCACACGTTTCGTGGCCCCATAGGGAGCTCCACCGAAGGCCCCAGTGGCTGCGTTCGCATGCGGTTCCACCCAAAATTTCGGCACACCCCTCACACGCTTCGTGGCACCATAGGGAGTTCCACCGAAGGCCCCAGTGGCTGCGTTCGCATGCGGTTCCACCCCCCATTCTGGCACACCCCTCAGACGCTTCGTGGCCCCACAGGGAGCTCCACCGAAGGCCCCTGTGGCTGCGTTCGCATGCGGTTCCACCCCCCATTCTGGCACACCCCTCACACGTTTCGTGGCCCAATAGGGAGCTCCACCGAAGGCCCCAGTGGCTGCGTTCGCATGCGGTTCCACCCCCCATTTCGGCACACCCCTCACACGTTTCGTGGCTCCACAGGGAGCTCCACCGAAGGCCCCAGTGGCCGCGTTCGCATGCGGTTCCACCCCCAATTCTGGCATACCCCTCACACGTTTCGTGGCCCCATAGGGAGCTCCACCGAAGGCCCCAGTGGCTGCGCTCACATGCGGTTCCACCCCCCATTCTGGAACACCCCTCACACGTTTCGTGGCCCCATAGGGAGCTCCACCGAAGGCCCCAGTGGCTGCGCTCGCATGCGGTTCCGCACCCCATTCTGGCACACCCCTCACACGCTTCGTGGCCCCATAAGGAGCTCCACCGAGGGCCCCCGTGGCTGCGTTCGCATGGCGTCGCCGCGCCCAATTTGGCACACCCCTCGCACGCTTCGTGGCCCCATAGGGAGCTCCACCGAAGGCCCCAATGGCTGCGTTCGCATGGCGGCGCCGCACCCAATGTGGCACACCCCTCACACGTTTCGTGGCCCCATAGGGAGCTCCACCGAAGGCCCCAGTGGCTGCGTTCATGGCGGCGCCGCACCCAATTTCGGCACACCCCTCACACGTTTCGTGGCCCCATAGGGAGCTCCACCGAAGGCCCCAGTGGCTGCGTTGGCATGGCGGCGCCGCACCCATTTCGGCACACCCCTCATACGTTTCGTGGCCCCATAGGGAGCTCCACCGAAGGCCCCAGTGGCTGCGTTCGCATGGCGGCGCCGCACCCATTTCGGCACACCCCTTACACGCTCCGTGGCCCCATAGGGAGCTCCACCGAAGCTCCCAGTGGCTGCGTTGGCATGGCGGCGCCGCGCCGAAAAAGATGTTCACTATTGCGGTACTCATAACTGCATATGGTTGGGTCCTTCGCACGGCAAATTTATTCGGCGCTTCGACATGTGGCGGAAAGGGGGGGGAGGGAGGGGGGTCCGGCTCCCGACCTCTGCATAGTGCGACTGTTTGCGACAGTGCGTCCTGTGGGGGAGGGACCCCGCCCGCTCGAAACAAGCGCCGACAGAAACCGCCAGGACGCACTCCGGGGGAGATTTGGATTGCGCTCCGACTCGCCGAGGAGACGGTCGGCTTAGCACTCCAGGGGAGAGGGGGTCGAGGTCGGTGCGAGGGCCCGCGCCGATGGGCAAAACAAGGAATGCAAGAAAACGCTCACCAGTCGAGCAGTTCCCCCCGCCGTCTGAGCAGGCCGCGCCGCCCCCCTCGCGCCACCCCCTCCTCCTGCTCCTCCTCCTCCTCCTCCTCCTCCCCCCTCCTCCCCCTCCCCCCTCCTCCCTCCTCCCCTCCTCCTCCTCCTGCTCCTCCTCCCCCTCCTCCTCCTCCTCCTCCTCTCCTCCTCCTCCTCCTCCTCCTCCTCCTCCTCCTCCTCGCGCCATCCCCTCCTCCTTCTCCTCCTCCTCCACAACTATTCAATCTGAGTACTACTCTCCCTCTTCCCCTGATGGAGCCTGGGAGTGTCCGACCCCCCCCCCGCGAACTGTTTTTTTGCACACAGGTTTCCCCGGAGTTGGGTTTTCGCCTGCATGTTTTCCAAAATGCTGCTCTCGCTGAGGCGCCGGCCTAATTTTCGGGCCCCGCTCATTATTCCGCTTGTTTCGACTCGTGCTCCCGCTGCAGCGCTGGCGTCATTTCCCCTGCCATGCCACGGCATGCAATGCAATGTTAGGTTGATGCTGCGCTTTGCGGTGCTCTTCTACGCCATGCCATGCCGTGCTCTACAATGCATCGCGTACCCTTTCGGGATCATTGCCCTGCTCGACATCCGACTGTGGAAGTAGAGAGGGGATCTGCTCCATGGTAAGGGATGTGAGGGAGGGGTAGCATGTCAGATATGACGCGAGCGCACCTACCTCCTCCTCCTCCTCCTCCTCCTCCTCCTCCTCCTCCTCGCGCCACCCCCTCCTCCTGCTCCTCCTCCTCCACAATTACTCAATCTGAATACTACTCTCCCTCTTCCCCTGATGGAGCCTGGGAGTGTCCGACCCCCCCCCCCCGCGTACGGTTTTTTTGCACACAAGTTTCCCCGGAGTTGGGTTTTCGCCTGCATGTTTTCCAAAATGCTGCTCTCGCTGAGGCGCCGGCCTAATTTTCGGGCCCCGCTCGTTCTTCCGCTTGTTTCGACTCGTGCTCCCGCTGCAGCGCTGGCGTCATTTCCCCTGCCATGCCACGGCATGCGATGCAATGTTAGGTTGGTACTACGCATTGCGGTGCTCTTCTACGCCATGCCATGCCGTGCTCTACAATGCATCGCGTACCCTTTCGGGATCATTGCCCTGCTCGACATCCGACTGTGCGAGTAGAGAGGGGATCTGCGCCATGGTAAGGGATGGGAGGGAGGGGTAGCATGTCAGATATGACGCGAGCGCACCTAGCTTGTTCTCCTCCTCCTCCTCCTCCTCCTCCTCCTCCTGCTCCTCCCCCTCCCTCTCCTCTCGGGCTGTTTAGTCCAATCCGCGCTGGCGCCGATTATCCGTCACAGCGAATCACGGCAGGAACCATGAGTGTCCTTGCCAGCCTACGCGTGCTTCAGGATGCATGGCCTTCTCGTTCCAGTCCCTTCGAGTAGGGGGATCGACCACAGAGCTGATTTTTACCCCCAGAAACTGTTTTCCGCCGAATCCACGAACAAATGCCGCGTCTCTTTTTCCAGACTCAACGTGGAAATCATTTTTCGGAATCACTCGATTCTGTAGTCGATCCCCTACTCGAAACGTCGACACCCAAAGGTCTCGACTCATTCCCCGGGACCGATTTCTCATCCTGAACCGTTTCCTCGACGGTCCCGAGGAGATTTATGTTGTTCCCATCCTACTGAAGGACCACATCCCAGAAATAATTCCGAGCACCCAACAATTTTGAAAAGAGTGTCGAAACAGTGTCGGGCGAGTGTCTCCCAGGGCCCGACACGTGAAAACCTTTGAATTTCGAAACTTTTTCTGGCGCTCGAAATTCTTTCTGGTTATCAAGACTAAAATAGGTTGGAACATCATAAGAGGAGACACGTTTCTCGCCCACGGTGTCCGGGTGCGCCGAGATCGAGCCGTCCATGGTGCTCACCGGCGCACCCCAGGCCTGGGCGACGCGAGCAGGCTCCCGGGCATCCGACGACGTGGGCGACGAAAAGACCCCGGACGTGCGCGAGACGACGACGCGGCCGTCCCTGAGATCCTGGCGACTCAGTTGTTTCGAGCCGGGCGACTTCGCCCAGACTCGGGCCGGGGACCCCCACCCTCAGAGATTGATGCGGCTCGAGAAGTGGCGCAGAAAGGCGGGGTCCAGGGCTGCGGTCGTGATTGTTTGCGATGTCTTAGCGTTTTCGCGCCGTTGGATCCAAGGGTTACGCGGTGGCTTACGCGGGCCACCAGCGCGGCACGCTACACGCGGAACGAAGTCGCTAGCGCGCGACCTTGCGCGGGCACCCTGCGCGCGAACTTCCGCGCGGTCGGGACCTGACTATCTCCCGTCGCTCGTGATATGTTATTGTTCCAATCCGGGCGCTTTCCTCGAGTTCGGCCCTCTGGTTATGTTGTTCCAATCGTACTTACGGATCACATCCCAAAAATAATCTCGATCACCCAGAAAAATATCGAAACAATGTCTGCCCGACACGCCAGCGAAGTGTCGAATGGGTATCGCCTCCCATGGCCCGACACGTGAACACCCTTCAGGTCTTCGGTGATCTCTTGGCGCTCGAACTTATTTCTGGTGATCAAGGCTAAAGTAGGTTGAAACCTCATAACCCTCTGGGTCGATGCGGTCGGAGGATCGCGCCGCATCGCCGACACATCGGCGATGGATCGGCGATGCACCAGCGATGCATCGGCGACGTCGGCGATGCATCGGCGACGTCGGCGTGGGGAAACACGGGCTCCATATCGAGACGCATCGTCGATGCATCGGCGATGCGGCGCGATCCTCCGACCCCATCTGGGGGCCCTAGAATAAAACGTTGCTGTTCCTATCCAGGCGCTTTTCCTCGATTTCGGCCCTCAGGGTGCTTCTTCGGGCCCCAGGGCACTAGACAACTTGCGAAAAACAAACCTCCACTGGGGAGCGGTCGGGACCTCCTCTGGGGCCGCGGATGGGAAAAAGACAGCAGGGTGGATGTCAGGGCTCCGGGTGTTGCTGGAAGTTCAAGTAGGGAATCGGCTGCAGGACATATCTACCCCAAAACTGATTTTCGCGTCGAACCCATCCGACAAGTACACAGAATAGTCAGTAGTCCTACAGAACATTGTAGGCATGTTTCGTTGATTCGACTGGAAGTCAATTTGGGGGGACAAATCGATTCTGTAGTCGATCTCCCACTCGAATCGGAGCGGATGTCAGGGTTTCGGGTGTTGCTAGAAGTGGTCCTGGCTCAAGGTGCTCCCAGCTCTTCGCACCACTTCGGGGCCTCAGGGGCCCTCTGGGCCTCGTAAGGGGTGCTCTGGGCCGTGGGGGCCTCCCTGGAAATTCTGAGGGAGCCTTGGGCCAGGAACACCTCTGGCCCGAACAAGCGCGGTGGCACGAGTGGGGCGGCCTTTGAAGAAGGCCGGGGAACTTCAAAGAAGGGGTTGGCTAGAAACCCTCCTGCCTTCTGAGAAAGCTGCCTAGGAGCTCTCAAACCATACATCCGATGTCTTGATCTATTCAATACGGGTTCCCCGTACTCCCGACCCTGTCCCAAGGCCAGCTTTTCAATCCGAGTCGTTTTTGGCGCGGGTGGGGCGGCCTTTTAAGAAGGCTGGGGAGCTGCCAAGCAGGGCGGTGGCTTCTTAGAACTCCTCCTGGCTTCTGAGAAAGCTTCTTGGAAGCTCCAAAGCCATACATCCGATGTCCTGATTTGTTCAATACTGGGTCCCCAGAAGTCCCGACCCTTTCCCAGGCCCGCCAGCTTTACAATCCGAGTCGCTTTTCACCGTCACGGGGCCCGGCGAGGGCCCCCAGTAGGCAGGAAACTGTCCAAAACCGCCCGTCATGATCTTTCCACGACGCGAGCAATCCTGGAGAGCCCTAACAGTAACACGACACGAAGATCGGGACAACATCGGATCGGGATAACTCGAAATCTCTGAGAACCGGCGGGTTTGGAGGATGTGTTGGGCGCCGCGGCCGCTCTCAGAGCGTTCCGGAACGCTCTGAGAGCGCTCCGGAAAGTGTAAAACATGGCTATTCCCAACGCTGCAAAGCGTATCTAGGAAAAACAAAAAATCATCGAAAGCGGGGCAAACAGAATCGACGGGGACGTCCCCGCGACCGCCATCTTGACATCATCTTGGGCATCTTGGAGCGATTTATCCCGATCCTAGCCCTGTTTTATAAAAAGGGGGTCTGAGAGCTGGACGGGCCCGGGGGGGCGCGCGGGCAACTCCGCTCAACACATCGGTTCCCGGACCCCTCCCGGGGTCGAACCGACCCAGTTCTCCGAGCCGAGGCCACCAGCGGCGACGATCGGGGGCCCTTGCCCCTGCATCTGGCTGGCCGGCCCGAGAGTATCGGTCGAGAAACGGAGGCCGCGGGCAAATCCGCTCCACATCGGTTCCCGGACCCCTCCCAGGGGTCGACACCGACCAGTTCTCCGAGCCGAGTCCATCAGTGGCGACGATACAGTCGGGGCCTTGACCTAAGGAACCCAAAATAAGGAACGAGGCCCCTTTTTTCCAGAAGTTCACCTTCGATTTCCGATCGACAACCTAAGGAAAACCTGAGGCAAACTGTGAAACACTTAAGGAACGCGGCGCCCCTCCCCAACGAAAAGGGTTCCTTCTTCAGGGCCCCGACTGTAGGGGGCCCTTACCCCTGCCTCTGGCTGGCCGGAGCCGGTGGGCCACCGCAGCCCCTCCAGCTGGCTCCAGCTTCTGGGCAGGCCCTCGCCTTCGAGAGAAGCCCCCCCGCCCCTCTCCGAAAGCCACCCCCTCGCGCCGGCCCCGTGTGCACGACGCCAGCGAGGCCTTGGTGCCGAGGCAGTACCAGTGCTTCGAAGAGGACCCCGAGCCCAAGACCTCTCGGTGCGTGAAGCAGACGAGTCCTGAGGCACACGGGTCCCAACCCCCCTGGGATGCGGGCTACTTGCCATTGTGGGCGTTCTTTTATCCGGCGTTTCGACATTGGGCGGAAGGGGGGGAGGGGGGGGGGCGGCTCTGGACCTCTGCTTAGTGTGACTGTTTGGGACCGTGCGTCCTCTGGGGGAGACTCCACCCGCTCGAAGCAGGTGTCAAAAAGCAGCCAAGATCTACTCCCTGGGGGGGGGGAAGGGGGGGTGCGAGGGCCCGCGCCGATCGGCAAAACAATGCGTTAAACAACGATCGCATTCTTCACGAAGCGGGCGTCTTCGCCCGGCTTTGGGCCCCGGGGCCCCACGGGCCGATGCGGCCTGAAAGAGGCCGCAGAGAGGTATAAGGTCTGCGGCTCCGGCCGAAGCTTCTCACGATGCCGTATCTCGCCATCGCTCGGACGTCCATTCCCTGTGCTTTTTTCGGCTTCGTGCGTGGCTTGTTCGCCAGATGGTCAAGGATGCTCCTCGATGGTCCTCGCCGAAGAAAAAATGCACACGTCCGAGCGTCGCAGCTCACGAGGAGGAGACGGAGGAGGAGGAGGAGGAGGAGGAGGAGGAGGAGGAGCAGGGGAGGGGGAGGGGGGGGGAGGAGAGGAGGAGGAGAGGGAGGAGGAGGAGGAGGAGGAGCAGGGGAGGGGGAGGGGGGGGGAGGGAGAGGAGGAGGAGGAGGAGGAGGAGAAGGAGGAGGAGGAGGAGGAGGAGGAGGAGGAGGAGATGCTGTATCTCTTGTTCGCGCATCCTGGCTCCCCGGGGCCCTCGCCCGGGGCCCGCTCTTCTGCCCGACGTGCCTCATTGAGGAGCCCGGGGCACGCGTGGAGGGCCCCGGGGGGCCCCCGGAGTCTGCGAAAAACACAAGCCGTGGGCCCTGGCACGCGCCGACGAGGTGCTTCCCCTCCGCGGCCCCCCCAAAAGAGTTCCGACCATTTGCGAAGGGGTGGGTCACCAGAAAACTGGTTTGGAAAAACCGATTGTTTCGCTTGCATTCTGGGCCTCAACATGAGGCGATGCATTGCCACTCAATACGTTTTCCATACCGCGCAAGCACACCAGGTGACCCACGAAGGGGTGGGTCACCAGAAAACTGGTTGAGAAATACAAATTGTTCAACCTGCATCCTGGGCCTCGTCATGTGGCGATGCACTTCCCGTCCAGGTTCCATGTTTGCTGGTCCCTGGGCCCGAGAAAGCGAGCCTCGGAGGCCGAGGTCAAGGAACAAAAGCACACAGACTCGGAAGAACACCTCGTCGGCGGTCTGGGGGAGCCGCTTCCCTCAAGGCCCGCTTGCTTCACTGCGACGGGGGTCAACGTCAGCGGGGGACCGGCTGACGAGGAGAAGCATCGACCTAAAATGGGCGATGCATCGCCGATTGTTCGGCGTCAGGCCCCCGATCGCGAATCCACAAATTCCTCGGCGGCGTGGGCTATCGGGCCCCTATTGGCGATGTGTGGGCGATTGGGGGTCGATGCATCCCCCCTGAGCCTATCCTCGGTCCGTCGTCTTGGGTTTCGGACCATAACTCAGATCTCCAGCGACCGTTCAGGACGATCACGACCCCCCCGAACGCCCCTCGGCGAGACGCAGCTGTCGGGGAGCACCCCGTGGCTGGAATCTGCTGGGAAGCCGCCGAGAACCGACGAAAACGTCCACAAACCATAATAGAGGCCTCCCGAATAGGCTCCGAGTTGTTGGGGTCTGAGGATCGCGCCGCATCGAGCGATGCATAGGCGATGCATCAGCGCTTCATCGGCGATGCTCCGGCGATGCATCGGCGACGCGGGGGTTGAGAAAATTAAGCTCCACATCGAGCCGTATCGTCGATGCATCGGCGATGCGGCGCTATCTTCCGACCCCATCTATGGTCTGGCCCCGTCTGGGAGGCCTCGGCTGACGTTGCCCCTGACATGCTTCAGGGCTGAACCTACACGGTGGGTGCTTTTCGTTTTCGTGTTGCTTTCGTTTTCCCTCGTTTTGTCTTCAATCCGCCTTTAACGCAAAACGAGATCGAAACGAAAACAGCCCACGAAATCGCCCAAACACCGTTCAGGTCCACCCCTAACATGCTTCGCTGCGAGACCTCGCTCGTGAGGGCGTCGGGTACGTTGAACATCACGCAGTTGTGGTCCGTGCCCGAGCCCGCGCGGCCGGCGCGCCACACGGAGCAGAGGGCCCTGGCCTTGGCCGCGCTGCTGGCGCTGGCACCCATCGCCGCGAGGGCGCCGCGGGAGCCGGTCACGACGCGCATCGTGGAGAGGGGGGCGCTGTCCTGCAGAGAGACGAGGACCACGAGCAGCGCTTCACCGATCCCTATACCCACCAGCGTGGCCTGGGCTTTGTGGGCCCTGGAAACAACAGGGCCGTTTTTTCACCGGTTCCAAAAAATGTCCCTTAAAAATGGAAACGGCAAAAAAACGGCGACCGGAAACAGCAACAAAACGGCTCCAAGATTGGAACAGAAGCCGGAACCGGTAACAAAAACGGCGACGGAACCAGTAAAAAAACGGCGTCGGAACTGGCGAAAAACGGCAAAACGGAACCGGTAAAAAAACGGCCCTGTCGTTTCCAGGGCCCACTAAGGGCCTGGGCCCCACTGGCCGACTTACCCGGATGGGGATTACAGGCTGTTCCCTTCGGGTTTCGAGGGGCATGTCCCCCACTGGGGCGGTGGGATGGTGGGGATCGGGATGGGGATGGGGATAGGGATCGGTTGAGCGATGCTGAGACTATGCACCCAAATCTCCGGCGACATGTTGCTTCGATCTGGGGTTCTTTCTTTGGTTTCGGCCTCGGCGGTCCGTCGTTGGGCTCTGACTCTGGGGCAGTTGAACTTGGATCTGGGACGAACAACTACTCCCAGGGAAGGGTTCGGCACCTCTGGGGTCGCGGATTGAAAATCACCCTGGCGAACAGCTCAACCATATGCAGCTGTGAGCACCGCAGGACAGGCAGGACAATCGAGAGGGGGAACTCTCTAAAGGGCCGCGATCCGCGTGAGACGGGCGAACCGCGCGAGGGATGTGCCAACATGGGGCGGGTACCGCATGCGCGCTGTCGGGGAGACGCATGCGGTGACGGCCGCTGTGACCTTCGGTGGAGCTCCTTATGGGCCACGAAGCGTGTGAAGGGCGTGCTGGAATGGGCTTGGGAGGCGCGCGCGAGGGTGTCGGGCGCATGCGGGCGGCGCCCCGGGGACCTTTGGTGGAGCTCCCTACGGGGCCGCGATCCTCGTAAGAGGTGTCCCGATGGGTAAGACGCATGCGGGCGGCGCCCTGGGGACCTTTGGTGGAGCTCCCCATGGCGCTATGGGGCCGCGATCCTCGTGAGGGGTGTCTCGGAATGGGTGGGTCGGACGCATGCGGGGTGTGCCGAGTGAGGGGTGTGCCAACATTGGTGGGGCGGCGCATGCGGGGAAGCTCCACGAAGCCTGTGTGAGATGGAATGATGACGACGACGATGACGACGATGATGAAGATGAAGATGAAGATGAAGATGAAGATGATGATGATGATGATGATGATGATGATGATGATGATGATGATGATGATGATGACGATGATGATTGTATCATCATTCTTCTCCTCTACCCGATGAGACTCCCTGTTCGCCCTGACTGAAAACTTAAATCGAGCACGGCGGCAAACTGGAATCACGGTCGCGAGGCACAACTAATTGAAGGCTCCCCGCGTTCCCCACGTGGAGCCTTCTGCAAACCCCAAGGTGACAAGATGAGCCGCGAAGGCGGAAACAATGACGATGATGATGATGATGATGATGATGATGGTGATATTGATGATGATGATGATGATGATTGTTATGATGATGATGATGATGCTGGCTATGATGCTGATTATGATGATGATGATGATGATGATGATGATGATGATGGTGATGCTGATAATGATGCTGCTCATGCATATGACGATACAGATGATGGGAAGGTGATGGTGATGATGGTGGTGATGATTATGATGGCAGTGGTGGCGATGCTGATGGTGATGATAATGATAATGGTAGTGCTGGTGATGATGAGTTGTGATGATGATGGTGATGATGATGCTTAGCATGTTGATACTGATATGGATGATGATGATGCTGCTGCTGATGATGATGATGATGATGATGATGATTGTGATGTCGCTGCTGATGCTGCTGCTGGTGATTATGGTGCTGATGATGATGATGATGACAGTAATGCTGAGGATGCTGCCGCTGCCGCTGCTGGTGATCATGATGTTGGGGATGACGATGATGACGAGGATAATGATGCTGCTGATGATGATGATCATGATGGCGCTGCTGCCGATGATGATGTCGTTGCTGATGACGATGATGCTAGTGACGATGACAATGATGATGATTATGATGATCAGGAGGGGGATGATGACGATGATTATGAGTATGAGTATGAGTATGAGTATGATGATGATGATGATGATGATGGTGATGATGGTGATGGTGATGATGGTGATGATGGTGATGACGACGACGAGGACGACGACGCCGACGACGATGATGATTACACGCGAAGAGCAGAGTCAGGCATGAGAGGAGGGAGTAGGATTTGAAGGAGAGACGGAGAGGAAAGCGGGGCGCTGTCTATTCAAAACGAGGGCCCAACACCACAAGATGGTTAGGACAGAAACATGTCGTCGGATGTCTGGGTCTGCATATATACCGATACAGCTGCTCGTCCTGGAGAACACTCGTCGCCACAGCTGGCTTCCCCTGGAAATTCTGGTCCGAGCGCACCCAAGGAAGAGGTTCGTGAGTATAGCGGTATCGATACCTTGTTGCCCGCCCGCATACAATCAAATTGGATCACAAGAATGAGTGTAACTGTCCAAGGGCGCCCTTCCATACGTGCAACTTCGGCTCATCCTCGGCCGTTTTCGCTCAATACGCTTCAGCTTGGGAGTCAGCGAGCCTTGCATCTTTAGCGCGCATGCCTATTATCCTGTCGCGCTGTAGAAGTTATGGTCAGAACGCACCCAAGGAGAAATCCTCAGACCCCCGACGTCATTGGCTCCTCATGATGTCGACCACGGAAGTCTCTACCTATTCCCCAGGACCAATCCCTCATCCTGAATCGTTCTTGGACGGTCCCGAGGCCTGGTAACAACCCCAAGAGGCAGAACATACGGAAAAGCTGTCCATTCTTCATGACTCGAAGTGGTCTGGCGATATCGGTTTCTTTTTGTGTGCCCATATGAGCATACACGGCTGGTGGCCAGGCCCATCCTTAGCCCAGGATCGATGCTTATACGCACTCCTGTCTCGGCCAGGGAAGCACATCTCTCTCTATAGATGTATCGATGTATCTATGTTCAATTCGGGTACATACCAAATTCGCCGGCCCAACGGGCCAGAGGCGTGCTAAGATCTCCGGTAACTGCTCTACAATGTTTCTACTTCGCGCGCGCGGGGCGGCCCCTGGGGGTCCCCAGACGAAAAGTACCCCGACCAGGTCCCGGCCGGTCCCCGGCAAGGTCCCCGGCAAGGTCCCCGGCAAGGTCCCCGCAAGGTCGGGCCAGAGATGCCGGAGCCCTGTTACAGGGCCCCAGGACGGGCCAAGAGGCCCCCAAGAAGCCTCCAAGACGGTCCAAGAGGGCCCCGAGACGGCCAAAGATCGCCCGAAGACGCCCAACAGGGCCCCAAGACAGCCCAAGAGGCCTCCAAGACGCCCCAAGGGCCTTCCAAGAGGCCTCCGAAGAGGGCCCCAAGAGGCCAAAATCGTTGATTTTCATTTTTTTTCGCTGTTTTTTGCGTTCTGGCTTTTTCGGCTTCCGGACGCTCCAAGACGGCCCAAGAGGCCCCCAAGACCGCTCCAAGACGGCCCATGAGGCTCCCAAGACGGCCCCGGAACGGCCCAGGAGGGCCCCCAAGACGGCCCAAGTGCCGCCCAAGACGGACCAAGAGGCCCCAAGACGGGCCCAAGAGGGGCTCAAGAGGGGAACCGAGAACTGAAAAATCGAGCCCTCCGCCCCAGAAGGCGCCCAGGAGGCCCCAAAAAGGCCCCAAGAGGCCCCCAAGAGGCCCCCAAGACGCCCCAAGAGGCCCAAAAGAGGCCCAAAAGAGGCCCCAAGAGGCCCCAAAACGGCCCCCAAGAGGCCCCAAAACTCGGCTAGCCCACAACTGTGCGACAATATGGGCCGGCGGAATGAGCGAAGCGATTAAATATATTTAAACATGTCAACATGTGCATCGACGTTTAAAACAAGCCATAGATAGACATTCGTACATACATATAGGTATATAGTTGTACCTGGATGTATGGTTGTCCCGGTCATGGGCTCAAGATGAGCCTGGACAGGATCGGGGTATGTGCGTAGTTCTCGTCGCCCCCAGTCCTACAGAAACGCAACGACTGCATACGTACACATAACTTTCGGAGGTCAGTGCATGTTTCTTGATCGGCGCTGAGCACCCCTGGCCTCGCCTATGGCGCCTCCCCTGGCAGGCTCCGCGCACTAGAGGTCCAGCGCCAAGTCAACAAATTCGCGCGGACTTCCGAACATATGCATGTTTATGCAATTGTTCTTCGTCGATGTCCGGCAGGAGCCTCTGTACGGCCTCGCAATTGTCCAGCTTCTTCTGCAATATCCACCTGCCGCCATGCATCACGTTTTTAAGCACGTGGATCCCCATCCCACCCTCCTCGTTCACGTCCTTCGCGATCAAAGTGACTGGCTTGTCCATGACCGGCGTGACGGGGATCTTCTTTTCAAGGCAACTTGATATGAACTTCCACTTGTCCTCTAGATCGAAATCCTTGCTCTGAGTGGCGAGAGCCGTCATCGACGCGAGCCGGCAATTCAGCTGCCACAGCTGGATCCAATCGGTGGGCGCCAGCAGCGAGCGACGGAAACACTCCGCTGCCGACGCCTCCATCCCGCGCAGCCTGCGCCACCACGAGCCCCAGAACGCCACCGTGGGGATCATGAAGAGGATGGCCACAACGGCCGAGGCGCGGGACCGCGCCCAGAGAGACAGCGGGATGCCATACACCCCCGTGGGCACCGCGACGTTGCGCAAGTTCGTCAGCATGTCCTGCTGGAACGTGCCCGCTCTGTAGTGCGGCTGCACCATCA